CAGGCAGTAACTCTTCCTTAGCAAAACTTTAAATCACTAATAATTCTGAGTACCAAATACCAGTCATGCAGAAGCTAGGGCTTGGGGCCTGTCTTGCAAAAGTAGCTCCAACAGTTGGCCAATGTGTCAACTGGTAATGGAACAGAGTAGATTAGGCACGACTGAACAAACCTTAGCCCACAAGTAAAACTAGAAACCAGGAGGGAGCAGAGGTCTTGCCGAGCTAGGTTCTTGTACCTGCTGGTCTGTGGGAGCCAGGGACGCTAAGCCACAGTGTCTAAGGCAGAGGTCGGGACAGGTGAGGAGCTGTGCCAAGCTGAGTCAGAGCATCCATTGGCAGGCAAGTGATCTATGGCTGGGAACAGACCCGGTTGGGGAGCAAAGGGGACAACCCTAGCTGGGCTGAGGTTCCCACCAAGAGGCACATGGCCTGGAAGGGGAGCTGCGTTCTGATCTGGAAACAGTTGTAGTCTCCCTTGGCACAAGTGTGGACTGGGATTGGATGCACCGAACCGGGCCGGACCCCGACTCCCCCTGGTGTTCTGGAGGACCAGGGCAGATGTGGGATGGACCAGGCAGGGTCTCAAACCCCTACTGAGCCATGTGTGAGCCAAATGTGGGTGTAGACAAACCATGGCTGGGCTGGAACATCCAACAGCAAGAACCAGATTGGGTGGAAGGCCAGACAGGAAAAGCCACAGTTCCTGTTATTACAGGAGGTGGACTGAGTAGGGTTGGCTCATGGACCCACTGGTAAGCGTGAAACCTGGCATTGGGAGAGGTTCTGATGGAGGAGCCTGGGCAACTCCTCTGGCAGGACACAGACCAGGCAGGTAAACGCAAGAAACATGATAGGAAACAGCCCAGAAAAGGCCATGGAAAGCTACCCACTGGCATACAATTGGCTGATGTGGGGGCAAGACCAGGCTGAATCTGTCCACATTATCCACTGGCAAATCCAGGCACCAGTGTGGGTCGACCTAGGGTTGGTCGCAACAAAGACTAGTGCACATTATGGAATGCCGAGGTGAGGTTGCCTGTACCGGAAGGGACCGCAGCGCCCTACCAGCCTGAGAACAAGAAAGGAAGTGGGCAGAGCCGGCAGGGGAATAAGGGAGGGTTCCTTTGCAGGACAGCTACTTCCGCAGGAGAGCATGGGCTGGGATGGGGGCAGACCAGACTAGGCAGAGCTACCACACCTGTGCGCCTCATGCGGACCAGATCAGGGAAAAGCCGGGCTGGGCGGATTATTCCTACTGGTGCAAGCAAAATTAAAGTGGGCAAGGGGTGTTTGGGCTTAGACGCAGCATCAACTGGAATCTGGGAGTGGGAGAGGCCTGGGAGGGAAATAGTGGGCTCATCCCTCTTGGGTTACCACTTTCACAGGACATAAAACTAAGATAACTAAGATAGCGGCTGGGGTGGAATGGGGTGTGGGACAGACTGGATTACTGCTACACTTATTGGCAAACCAGGGTAGGGAGTGGGCCTGGTGGGGGTTATTGTGGGTCGCTCCAACCTAGGCTGCAGCTCCCGCTGGTTTATGTGAGGACCAAGTATGTGCTGGGCAGAACCAGGCTGGACTGCAACACCCATTGGTTCCAGTGGAAGTCGGGAGTGAAAACAGAACCAACCCAGCAACTGCAACCACCAGCTGATTGGAGCGATAGACGGTGCCAGGCCCTGTACTTGTTAGCACATACAAGAAGTTTCTTTGGAGATCTTCCTAATCTAAATGCTGGACTCAGAACCCTAACGAAGAAAAGAGAGAAGACAGAACAGGTCAACCAACCATCTCAGCTATGATGGACTATGTCAATCAGTTGATTTTTCAAAGATCTCATAGTGCTTGGAGTGGCAAGATTGACAGCGATTCATGACTGTGGACTGCACATTCCTTACTGGTTAGAGTCCCAGCTATTCTGCTTCCAATCCAGCTTCTTCCTAATAGGCGTGGCAAGGCACTAGATGATGGCTCAAGTACTTCAAACCCTGTCACACGTTTAGGAGATCCTGACATGATTCCTAGCTCCTAGCTTCAGCTTGGTCTAGGTCTGGCTATTCTAGACATTTGAGAGGTGAAGCAGATAAAAGATCTCTGCCTTTTCTACTTTCTGTCACTTCGTCTTTCAATCAAGTAGTAATTAAAAATAACAAAATAAAATTTCCCCTTTCTTAAAGCATAATATGGTAATGAAAAATTTATTTTTTGAATTTGTAATCTTGATCTTTATATTTGTTACAAATAACAGACTGATTCTTACATATAAGTGCATAATAAATTCACTCCCTGTATATGAAGAAAACATGAATGAAAATTTGAAATGGTGGCTTTTAACAGAATGCCACAAGTGAGTGACAGATTATCATTGTCACTAGTATATGCATCTGTACAGTCCTCTGCAAATATGCCTACAGTAGTAATTCAAAGGACTTGTCAAAACTGACAGCTGTTTCCTAACCTTTAAATATTAATACGCAGAAGTAGGTTCTAACACCATTTCTGTGGCTCATTTTGCTTTTTGGACCCTCTCCCATTCAGCTTAAACTTACATCCTGTCCAGAAACACTGCATTTCTATAGCTACGTTTTGCAATGAAATTGTTGTCTCCTTTATAACTTTGAAATACTATTATTATTATGTTCCAATAATTTTTATGATTAAGAAGATGAAATAAGATTTCACAGGGAGTATCTATTATGAAAATCTTTTCAAACTTTATAGAATTTAGAATTAAAATGTAAAACAGAGTTTGTAGATACCATATAACTATAAAGTATATCTGAAAACAGGCATTTTCACTGGAATTAAGCTAGAAAAGCCAATACCATAATTTTAGAAAGAAGCATTCGTGGAGTAACTCAAAAAGCAGCTTATTCAACTATTCCATTTTCTAATGTAAAGTGAATTAGCTCTTTGATTCATATACCTCACACACTCTTGAGTTCAGCATTTTCCAATCCTATTTTCATGACTTACTCTCAACCAAAACAATAATTGCTTCTTAAGGAATTATTTCTTTGATGATTTTGGCATTGCTTGTATTTTGCCTTTTCCATAGTAATGAAATTTTTCCATTATGAAGTTTACAGTGTTCATGTCACTCAACAAGTTATAGTAGTTGACTTGATTTTGATTTTGTGAGATCTATTATATGCCTTATTCATAGGAAAATTAAGACTATATGCATTAACTATGAAGCATTTCATATTTCAATATTTTAAGATAAATTAAATTCTCTAAATTATTATTCTTCATATTTTAAAATATTCAAAATGGCATTACTACATGCTAATCTTCACTTACTATTAACAGTTACTCCCATTGCTAAGGATTTTATTATTCTGTTTGACACCTGAGGTTCTTGAGTATCTGAGACTTCCTTACTTGACAGATTTCTTTTCTACTACTTTGTAGCATTCTACACAAGGTAAAAATTTCAAAGTCCCATGAACATTTTATGCTCAATCTCATCTTCACTCTTTCTTCCTCAAAATTACCATCTTATGTGGGAGATCGCTCCTGGATCTCTGCCTGGTTGGCCTATGTGGGAATTCATAGTCACACAGCACACCATGTCCCCAAGGGAACTCCCTGGCAATGGTCTTGGCTCATGGAGACTTCAATCTGACCTGATCACTGACTGTACAGAAGAGAGCAGTGGGCTGCACTCCAGTCTCTCTTGTCTGTCCTTGGATGAGCTGTGCTAGGACTGCCTTGATGAGCAACTCTGAGGAGCTGGTGCGATCCCATGTTTCCTGCCAACCATACATGGTGTATGCGGTCTTCAGCTGATTCAAGTCACACAGAGTGTGCATGATCTTAAGCTGACCTACAGCCACACGTGGTGAACTGGACCAATGGCATACTGCCAGCCATGTACGTTTTACATGTCCTGCTACATGATTGAAGGGTCCAGAGATATTGACATGCCTTCTAGCCAATTAAAATGCAATTGTTGGGTGGAAGGACTGTTAAAGATGCCCTTCTGCTTTCCCCTTTCTTAGTCTATATAATTTGTGCTTGCTTTATAATACATAGACATACTCAATCAAACTGTCTCTGGTGGTTCATGCTGAGGAAGACTGTCGCTGCCTCATCCCCTTGATTGTTGCAGAGGCCTTCTGAAGGTCAGGAATCCCCCAATAATATTAACATTTAATATGTAAACCATCTAACTAAATCTGATACATTGCAATAAATAAAGAGGTCATACTTATGTAAATAATTGCTTTAAAGAAAAGGAAATTAAGGGACTGATAAATGGTGCAGCATGTAAAGCAGATGTCTGCAGTGCTGACATCCTATGTGGATGCCAGTGTATGTCTCGGATACAACACTTATGATTCAGCTCCTTGCTAATGTGCCTGGGAAAGCAGTAGAAGGTAGCACAAGTGCTTGGGCCCATGCCATCTATGTGGGAGATCCAGAAAAAGCTCATGACTCCTGGCTGCAGCCTGGTTCTACTCTGGCCATTGAAGCCACCTGGGCAATGAATCAGTGGATGGAAAACCTTTCTGTCTTCCCTGTTCTGTAACTCTTTCAAATAAGTAATCTTTCTCTTCCCTTATCTGCAACTCTTTTTTTTTTTTTAAAAAAAAAGGGAGGTGAGGAGGTGAGTTACAATCTCATCTCATACCTTCAGAAATATTTTTGAGGGGGACAGGCACTTAGCCTAGTAGTTAAGATGCCAGTTAAAACTCTCAAGGTCCATATAATAATATCTGGATTCTGGCTCAGACTTCTGACTTCAGCTTCCTGCTGACAAGGATGCTGGAAGGTAATGGTGATGGCCAGTTTGGTACTTGTACTCATTTGAGAGACCTAGACTGAATTTCAACTACTGGCTTTAGCCTTGCTCAGCTTTAGGTGTTGAGGACACTGGGGAGTCAACCAGTTGATTTGTATCTCCTTTGTCTCTCTTTGTCCTTAAGTCAGTAAATAAAAATTTGGAAAAATCATTTTGGTAGACAGAAAATATAAAATTAGTTTAACTCAGAATAAAACACTGGTAAACATTCAAAGAATAAGTATTGTGTATAAAACCGAAGGAAGACATTTAAAGAAATTATTATTAGACTTCATAAAGTTTCACCCACTAAAAATGCTAATAAGCATCATGAAATAGGAAATAAAAAACAACTCCTCTACTATACACTGACAGGAAGCAATTGATTTTAATCCTCCTTTTTTAGTTCCCCGGTTCAAATACCTCACAAAATACTTGAGGATTGTGTGTACGCAGGAAAGCAAAAATATTACAAATTAATCTTCAGTAAGGATCTCTGTATGGTTTTACTACTTAATTCCATATCATCCCTTTAGGTATTATAAATGTCTGGCCTTCATTTACTCATTGAAAAAAATGCTTATTGTAACCCCAGCACAAGCCAGAGACTGTGCTATTTACTAAAAGCTAATTGATATGTAAAACCACAGTTCTTCCTATAACAGAATCTAAATGTAGTGAGAGATAAACATTAATTAAATAATCGTGCATATTGTGATTAAGAGGAAAATGGCACAATTTAACTGCAAAGAAAAGCAACTTCACCTACTGGATATATAGATTAGCTTTATATCAATAATAAAACCACAAAAGTTATATAATAACAGGAATTGTATCTTAAGTATCTTTGTACTTCTCTGTATGTCACACAGCTATAAGCCTTTCTATACCTGCATACACTCAAAATTGAGATTATCATTTTTATCTAGCCTTTTACTCAATGGCATCCATGAAATCAGCTTTGGGATGATCTACACTTTGAGGCTGCTTAGAAGAAATGGCATTTATTAGAACACTAAACAACAGTTTACAAAATCTTACCTAGGCAACAACATGATTTCATGATCAATATTATCATATTTAATGGTAAGGGACTATGTAAACATTAAAGGAATGACATACATATTTCCTAAAAAGATATATTCATACAATTTACATATTAAAATAATGTAAATAATTTTCATTTACAGGACATAAAGATTATTTAAAAAATATTTAAAGCACATTATTTTTACATTGTATATCCTGGGAGTTTATTTATTACTAATTCACTAATGTCTTTGCATTGCTTGGAAATACTTAGTGGGCCAACATCATCACTATCTTCCTCAAAGTGATTGGGTGGGCTCTCATCCAGGACATTAAGTTCTAGTTCTGACAAATTAGAGGGCAGGTAAGAACTCACTTGAGATGTCTGTGGCGACTGGCTTTTTTCTAAAGTCTTGCAACCTGTTCTTGTTCTAAGTGTAATAGAGGTGTCTGGACCTCTCTTTGTCACTTTACAATTATGCATCCCATTTTGGTCCATGTGGCTTTCTTTTTCCTGAGTCCAATGTGATGAAGCCAAATCATTGCTAGAGATACTGGATGATTCCTCCAAACTTCTATCCTGCATCTTTAAAGTATGAGACCTTTTAGATGAGTGTACTGGTGACCCGGCTGAGAAGGGCGGGCTGAGAATTGAACTCTTGTCACTGCCATTGTCCCTTACCAACAGTCTTGCTTCACTGGACTTGGTTTGATAATGGTTGTCTTCCACTCCTGCTTTGCCATCATGACCTTTTAAACTTCCGCTGCTGTCTTCAGTGGTACAGAAATCATCAGAATAGCACGGGCTGCTGAGTCCACGGGAATACTTTCCTTCTGAGATGCTCTCAGAGCAGCTATTTTTACTTTGTCTGCTTTCACTCAGATCACCAATAGGAAACTCATTATCTGTGGTTTTGACTATTCTGTCTCCTACTTCCTTATCTGTAATCCCATCAACAGTATCCTGTTGGAAAATAAGTGGGCTCTGGATCTCCATTCCCACCCTTTCTCGCAAAATATTTGTAGGAATAAATTCTTCTGGAATAACAGAGTTTCTAGGACTCATGATTTCTTTTGATGAACTATTATCAGCTGTGATTTCACCGCAGCTAACTTGCATTTTTTCAGTTGCACATTCTAGTTTGGTTTCTTTAGTTGTGCTGGTCTCATTGTAGATCCCACTGATTTGCCTTGAGGTATCACTGTTTACAGCAGAAGATGCATCAAGAGCCACACATTTGTCTTTAGACAGTTGGCAAGGCTTCTCGCTTTGTCCCTTAAAGTTTAATTTAATTTTGGAAGATGACATTCTGAATCTTGTATCCAACATTTGTACTTGCATTTTTCTAAACTGTTCTCTCTTCTCATGTACTATCAACATATCAGGATTTGTTTGCTTTAAACGTAGCCTTAGTGTATTTGTTAAGCCATAAAGAAGCCTTCCCTTTGTGGCTCTTTTAGTGGGGGCACCACTTTTCTTTTCAAAGTATGTACATTTCTTACACTTTTCAACTGGGTTCTTTTCATACTGAAGACTCTCTGACTTTTCATGTTCCCCCACAGCAAGCCTATTCTTGTTGGATTCAGACTGACATGCAGATTTGGCAGAAGATTCTGGGGCTTTATTATCCTCAGTTCTGTATAACCAGGCTAAATGAGGATGTATATGAGTAGGGCTTGCCATGGGTTGGTTGTATAACACCGACAACTCCACTAGCAAAGCATTTAGCAAAGGCAGCTGCCGTATAATGTTAACTTTGTTTTGTTCACTTTGAGGGTGACATGCAGTTTGATTGGCTGCTCCCATATCCTGAACACGTGGAGGATTAATAGGCATCGGGGAACTCTCATAAGTGGCAGGATGCCTATGTTTTAAAGGATTCCCCTGTGTTGGGGAATCTGCACAGTTTTTTCCAGGAAGGGCACTATCCAATTCCTCAGGGTCATTCCCTTGAGGTTCAACGATGATTGTCACCTGTGCGGGAGGGGTCTTGTCCTGCCTCCAGTGAGTGTAAAACAGAGGAGGAGGGCAAAATACGTTGGTTTCAATGTCCAATTCTGTGGCCTCCTCATTTAGGGGGCTGATCCTCCCCCCACTGCTGGCATTTTTACAAGTAACAACAGAATAGGTTTTGCTATTCTCTGCTGAGCCCATCGTAACAGAGGTGGACTCACTGCAGAAAACTATATCCTTCAAATCCTTCTGGAAGGTCTTTTGGGGTTTTGGCGACCCTGAAGGCCTACCAGCATCTCTTGGGCTTGGCACAGGAGCCGGCTGCTCCAATGCCTGTTTTTCCTGCAGGGTTTGGGGATTGAGCTCCTCTGACTTCTGCACCTCTTTGCTCCCCAGTCCAGTAGCGCACCTGGTGGCCTCGATGGGCCGATCAAAATGGCCCAGTAGACAGCTTCCCAGATCAGTAAGGCTGTAGGCTAATGCAATGTCCCCAATCTGCTCCCCGAGTCGGTTAAGTAGGGGGAAACTTCCCCGATGACTCTGGGAGCACCCAGAGGCTGCTGCCCCCATGGCCTTGTGGGCCGCGGAGGCCAGAGAAACATTGCACGACCCCAGGAGCTGTGGGGTGGGTGTCGGGCGACCAGGGGGCAGTTGCAGCAGCAAGGTGTACACCGGGGTCTGAAGGAGCAGGCGGTGGAGAGTGGCAGGGTGGAGGCGGAAGAGACAGGACTTGCCGCGACCGAAGCGGATCACGCCGTGCCGGGGTGCGGGGCAGGGCGCCGCGGGGCCGCCGGGAGGGTAAACCAGCAGCGTGGGGAAGTCCAGCAGGCGGAAGGCCACAGCGGGGCACAGCGCGCGCGGCTGCGAGGCTTCCTCGGCCTCCTCGGGCTCCTCGGCCTCCTCGGCCTCCTGCTCCCCTGCCACGATCGGCGAGGGCAGCGCGGCTCGGAGACGCACCCAATCTACCAGCAGCTCCAAACAGAAGAGGTGTTCCGACTGCGGCGGCGCCATTGCTGTTGCCCCGGGAGACGCCTCCTGGCTCTCACAGGTTGGGAGCGAAGACAGGGCTCTCGCGAGAGTAGGGGAGAACAGGCGCCTGGTCCGCTGTCTCGCGAGACCCAGGGGGCTGCCTCTGTGCCATAGCGCCGCGACTGTCTGTGCTGAGGTCTTTGCTGCTCTGTGTCTGAGGGCTCGGATACTCGGTGTACGCAGTTTCCTCCTAAGAGACTTGTATTAAGGCTGTTGTGTGACAATAATCCTGAGGCTATAAGTGGCAAAGCACAGTCTTTCACTGTGGTGTTGTAATCACTGTGGAGCCTATAAACTGGATATCAGGTCCAATACTGAAAATAAATCAGTATTCTCTCCCAGTCCCCAGGCAAAAGAAAGCCTCATAAATGCCAACAGTCGCCCCCGTGGCTGTGGTTTTGTCCAAAATAGAGACACTGCTCCGATGGCCTCAGGAGAGTCCGGTGAACAGAGCTAAGCAGCATAGCGGGACCACACTGACCAAGACTTCTTGAATTAAACTTTACTCAGGTTTTTCTGACTTTTCTCAGCTAGTTTTTGACCTTGGCATCTGACCTGGGGCACAGGCTATCCAGTTATAAAATAATTTTCTAGAGAACCTGTGACCCTTTGTATCTGACTATTCTTAATACATGATCTATCCTAGGTAACTAACCTTAGCCTGCCTTCAGCAGGAATCCTTTTAAATCTCTTTTTACCAGACTCTTTTTCATCCTTGCTGTTTCCTGTTACTAATTTTCCACTCATGTGGCCATCTCTCAGTGCTCGTGGTCTATCAATATATTTACCCAGAATTGAGCCCAGCTCCATCCTGAGGCCTCCTGCTGCAGTGAGTCCTGAGTAAAATATGTTCTTCTTTCTTTACTCTCTGTCTCCAATTTTCTCTGTAACAACACTTGCAGCTGAGCAATCGTGTATGAAAGTAATGTTACAGATTCCATTATACACACATGCATACTTATACGCACAAACACAATACTGAAACAGAGCTTATTGCACCATCCAAGATTTTCTTAAAAATATAATAGTAATGCTAGTAAGGTAGCCAGCAGAAAAATTAGGCCAATATGTGGAGGATGTTGAATGTCTCAGTAAGGAATTTGGATGTTATGCTGCAAAAATTGCTTTGAATGAATAAGTCACAATTGTATAAATGTTTTGAAATGTAGCAAAAGAAAGAACACAGGGTGAATTCTACTAGTAAGAAGTTGGACCCAGAGCCATTTATTAGAAAACTGTTAACTGTGCTAAAGTGCAGGCACAATACAGGCTGCTAGAACCGAGAGAGACAACAGATGGAAGAGTCATCTTCTGATGGAAGGGTTTTAGAATGTTGTTATGCATAAAAGATTTCTGCTGCCGAAGGATCTAATTTCAGCTATTGAGGAAGCTAAACGTTGATGAGGAGAAATGATCTTTGGGTTTTGAGGGTGCCTACTAACATTACGTGGACATTTCGATTTTATCCAGCTTTATGAGTTATAGTTAAAAATTACATTGCTTTGATTCCCAGAAGAACATTATGAAGTTAGAGAATTCATAATTGGAGGGACTTGGTATTACAGTGCACAGATGTGAGAGGGAGTTTTCATTAAATTAAATAAATGGAGACACTGTTCCTGTCTGTAAGAATCTTACTATCTACTTGCAAAGGCACACGTTCAATGGACAGTCTCAATGACATATTCAAAAGTTAAAAGCAATGAGGTATCAAGTGTGTGGTTACCAAACACATCCATTTTCTGTAGGAGACATTTGAAGTAAGACTTTTGAGTAAGGCTAATAATGTGAACTAGAAGCACTTGTATATTTTCTATACAATTTATATACTCATATAAATAGGGAAGCCAATGACCCTCCTTCATATGTATGTCAGGGAAAATGCTTGGATTTCAAAATGTTTTTGATCAAAATAAACTTTTAAAGTTTGCTTTCTATGAAGTTTTTGAAGTTCCTTGTTATGAAGGGTTTCTTTCTATTTTTTAGATTTTTTTGAGAGGCAGAGTTAGAGAGACAGAGCGAGAGCTCTTCCATTGCTGGTTCACTCCCTAAATACAGCAGCTGAGGCTGGACCAGGGCTGGGGCAGGACTAAGAACACTATGCAGTTCTTCCATGTGAATGGCAGGGACCAGATTACTTGAACCATCACTGACATCTCCAAGGGTGTGCACTGACAGGCAGGTGGAGTCAGGAGACAAAGCTGGGCATCCGCCCCAGGCACTCCGAGGTAGGATATGAGCAGAAACTGAGGGTCCTGTTGCAGCCATCCTGTGCTCAGATTCTCCTCTGTTATCTCCACAGGTTTACAGGCCGGCATTCTAGATGCACCCACATTCCCAGAGCCAGAAAATCTCTGACAGGTGAGGTACATATCTATGGTCATTCATTCAGGACTTCCGATTTAAAAGTGTTGACAGAAAGGTACCTTGCCCCAAGACTTAATTTGAAACTCCTGAAATCTAAGTCAAATGTCCCTCTCTCTCCTCAGAGGGCAAAAAAATGGACCTCATCCAATGTATGGACAGTAAAGAATCAGAACTTTGGTAGCATCTGTCTTTACATATTCTATCATTAGTAAAGGTGACATGATCTTATTCTTGGAATAAACATCCAGTGTTTGAATCCAACACATTCTCCTTATTTCTAGTATTTTATTCTCTTTCTGATTTTTTGGAGAGGGAGAATCATAGTTCCTTTACATATTGTCATTAAATCAGAGGCAGAATTATGATCATAATCATGATTACCACTTCCAATATCATGAATATGAAGTAGGTGTTGTAAATGCAAATAATCTAAAAACATTATTTAAAGTAACACCAAATCTCTGCATTGCATTTTCAATTTTTATTTTGGAACTTCTAGAACTTGTTGTTGGAAAATCATTCACTTGGGAAGTAGAACAAAGAGAGAGACTGGAAGGTAGTAGGAATGGTGAAGGCGGAGGACTGTAAACCCGGGAAGTACTAGTGACTCAAGGGAAAAGGTGGCTTAACCCCATTCTGATGAATCTCTCTGCCAGAAAGGAAAGGGAAGGTTAAATTATGTAGCATAGAAGGGCATAGTATAAGGTATGTGATTATAGAAACATAGCATGATGAGACCAAAAAATGTCTTGAAGTCAAACAGTCGTGGATTAATGTACCAGCTTCTCCATTTCATAACTGTGTAACTCTGGGTCAAGCTCACCAAAGTGAGACATTTCCACTCATGTTATCTCAAAGATCCTCAAACTGTAATGTACATGTTAAATGCAGATTCTTTAGTTACTGTTTTAACTTGAGCTTTTCTTTCTGATGTCGAGGGCCCCTAGACTATTAGTTGAGAACTATCACCCTCACTTGCAGTATGTTGCAGATAGCTGAATTATTAGTCTGTAAGAGGTAAAATGGTTTTATGATCATAGCAACAAGGGAGAAATTTATATATACTCATGGCTCTCTTTCTGTTTCCAAGGTGAAAGGAGGAAAAGCTTTATTAGCAATACATCCCCATCCCAAGAGAGAGTGACAGAGACTGAGAACTTCTCATCACACACTTAGAAGAGGTTGTGAAAAACTTTTGGGGATGTAGATTTCAGTGTCTCTCAACCATAGATTGAATACTGCCTTGTCAAGAAACCAAAATCCGTTTTCTCTTTCACAGCAAATTGACTAGAGTTCTTAAAGTATTCTCTGCTTTCTGATGTAGTGGAAGATTCCAAAATTAGTTTAACTCATAAATTATTCTCCCTATGAAAATGAACACTGTTAGCTATTTTGGCTTAGACCATCTTGTGAAGAATAATGTAAATCTCTGTTCCAATTGTAGAATTAACTTCAAATTGGGTTTATTTTAAATACTGCTCATTTAGTCTAGATTCCTTCAGAAGAGTCAGCTGTTGCATTTATAATTTGTTACCTATCTTTTTAAGAATAGTTTTAAACCAAAACTGTTGATAACTTAATCAAGCATACTAGCACTTCAGGGGCTCTGTGACCATTAGCTGGAGCTTGATACACACTGGAAAAAATATTTATGGATAACAAGCAATACTGTTATATGTGTTAGCCAGTGTATTAGTTCCCTCTCTGGCTCTCTTTATTGATAGCAATCCCATGAAGTTATTGATAGTGAAACTAATGAAATTAATTTGGGAAAGTTAACAATGTCTATCAATTTTCACAGCAAGTAATCAATTAATGGTGCTTTAAAATTCAGTTTTATCCATTTTAAAAAAAAGTTTAATTAAAAAACTTTAAAATCTATTTGAAAAGTAGATTTACAGAAAGAAGGAGATACAGAAAGATCCTCTGTCTGCCAGTTCATTCCCTGAGTGTCTACAATGGCTACAGTTGAGCTGATCCAAAGCCAGAAGCTTCTTCTGGGTCTCTCACACAGTCCATTTGTATTTTAAAGATTTATTTATTTTTATTGGAAAGGCAGTTATACAGAGAGGAAGATCTTCCACTGGTTTACTCCACAAGTGGCCTCAATGGCCGGAGCTGCACTGATCCAAAGCCAGGAGCCAGGAGTTTCTTCCAGGTCTCCCACGTGGGTGCAGAGTCCCAAGGCTTTGGGCCATCCTCCGACTGCTTTCCCAGGCCATGAGCAAGGAGCTGGATGGGAAGTGGAGCAGCTGGGACACAAACTGGCACTCATATGGGATCCCAGGTGTGCAAGGCAAGGATTTAACCATTAGACTGTCATGCTGGGCTCAGTCCACCCATCTTTTAGAAAGTAGTTGGCAACTATTGAATTAGATTTTTCTACTTGGAACTTATCTATATATGAATGTATCTTAAACTGAAAAAAAAAGTGCACTTGGGGCTAAAAAAAAAAAGAGTCATTAAAAAGTGCTCAGAGCCCAGCATGATAACTCAGCAACTAAATCCTTAGCTTGTAAACAGTAAGATCTCATGTGGGCACCAGTTCAGGTCCTGGCTGCTTTGCCTCTGATCCAGCTCCCTGCTTATGGCCTGGGAAAACAGTAGAGAATGGC